ATATTAGTTCTTCCAATCTATGACAATGGAATATCTTTCCAGTCATTTGCCTTCAATTTCTTATATCAAATGTCTTATAGCTTTCAATGTATAGGTTTTCACCTCCTTAGTTACATTTATTGCTAGGTATGTCAACTTTTTGATAAAATTGTGAATGGCATAATTTTCTTAATTTATCTTTCTGACAGTTGTTTCTGTATAAAGACAGCATACTTCTGTGCATTGATTTTGTATTATACAATATTACTAAATTTATTTCTAACAGTTTTTTGGTGGAGCCTTTAGAGTTCTCTATAGTGCCATGTCATCTGCAAATAGTGACAGTTTTACTTTTTCCTCTCCAGTTTGTTTACCTTTTATTTCTTTTTCTCAATTAATTGCTCTGGCTAGGAATTCCAATACTATGTTAAATAAAAGTGGCAAGAATGGGCACTCTCATTGCTGGCGTTAGAGGGAAATTTTTCATCTTTTCACTGTTGAATACAATGTTAGATGAGGCTTGTTATCTATAGCCTTTATTGTGTTGAGATACAGTCTCCTATATACTCCACATTATTTCATTATTTATTATTCTTCATCTCAAGAATAAAGTGCACTTGATCCTTCTAATGTATTGCAGAATTGAGTTTGCTAATATTTTGTTGAATATTTTTGTATGTTCGCTGATCAGGGATATTGGCCTGTAATCTTTTTATGTGGCATTCTTAATTTTTGGAATGAAGGTAATGCTGGCTTCATAAATAAGTTTGAAAGTGTTCCCTCCTCCTCTTCCTTGTCTTTGTCTTTTTTTAATTCTTCTTCTTTTTTTTCTTTTTGAAAAAGTTGAGAAAGATTAGTACTAATTTTTCTGTCAGTGTTTGGTAAAATTTACTAGTAAATCCATCTAGTCCTGGTCCTTCATTTCTTGGGAGTTTTTGATTACTGACTTAATCTCCTTACTAATAACTAGTCTGTTCAGATTTTATGTTTCTGCATGATTCAGTTTTGGTAGATTGTATGTTTCTAAAAATGTATGCTTTTTTATAAGTATTCATATTTGTTGGCAAATAATTATTATATTAGTCTCTTAGGATGCTTTACATTGCTGTGGTATCACTTGTAAAGCCAAATCTTTCATTTCTAAGTTTAAGCCTCTTCACTTTTTCTTGGTGAGTCTAGCCCTTTAGACTTTGATTCTCATTGTCAATATTTATATATACTTTAAAAAACAACAGGTTTTAATTGGATTATTTATTTCTTGGGTGTTAAATTATATAAATTCTTCATATATTTTGGATACTAACCCTTTATCAGATATGTCATTTGCAAATATCTTCTCTCATTCTGTAGGTTGCCTTTTATTATTTATTTATTTATTTATTTATTTATTTATTTATTTATTGTAGGTTGCCTTTTAGTTTTGTTGTTTCTTTCACTGTGCAGAAGCTTTTTATTTTCATGTAATCCTATTAGTTTAGTTTTGCTTTTATTTCCCTTGCCACAGGAACATACCAGGAAAATGTTGCTATGGCCAATGTCAGAAAAATTAACTGTGCTCTTTTCTAGGATTTCTATGATTTTAGGTATCACATTTTGATTTTTTTTGTGTGTGTGTATGTTGTAAGAAAGTGGCTCAGTTTCATTCTTTTGTATGTAGTCCAATTTTCCTAGCACCATTTGTTGAAGAAACTGTCTCTGTTGAAGATTAATTGACTATATAATCGTGGATTTATTTCTCGGTTTTCTATTCTATTGATAGTTTGTATAGTAAAATAACTTGAAGTCTCGAATTGTGGTACCTCCAGTTTTGCTTTACTTCTTCAAAATTGCTTTGGCTATTTGGAGTCTTTTGTGGTTCTATATAAATTTTAAGATTGTTTGTTCTAGTGCTCTGAAACATGCTGTTGTATTTTGATAAGGATTGCATTAAATCTGTAGATTGCTTTGGTAGTATAGAAATTTTGGCAATATTAGTTCTTTCAATGCATGAGCATGAACTGTCTTTCCATTTCTGTCATCTTTAATTTCTTTAAAAAAAATGCGCAGAAGGAATGAGCATACCTATCTCCAAAAAAGACATTCGGATGGCCAACAGACACATAACAAGATGCTCAACATCACTCATCGTCAGGGAAATGCAAATAAAAACTACAATAAGATATCACCTCACACTTGTTGAGGTGACTAAAATCAAAAACAAAAACAAGGGATCCCTGGGTGGCGCAGCGGTTTGGCGCCTGCCTTTGGCCCAGGGCGTGATTCTGGAGACCCTGGATCGAATCCCACGTCAGGCTCCCAGTGCATGGAGCCTGCTTCTCCCTCTGCCTATGTCTCTGCCTCTCTCTCTCTCTCTCTCTCTCTCTCTCTCTCTCTCTCTCTCTCTGTGACTATCATAAAATAAATTAAAAAAAATTAAAAAAACAAAAACAAAAACAAAAACAAAACAGTAAGTGTTGGCAAGGATATGGAGAAAAATAAATTCTCCTGTACTATTGGTGGGAATGTAAACTGGTGCAGCCACTGTGCAAAACAATGTGCAGTTTCCTCAAAAAGTTAAAAATATACCTATGATTCAGCAATTATAATTTACCCTCAAAATATGAAAACACTAATTCAAGGGATACAGGCACAACTATGTTTATGGTAGAATTATTACAATAGCCAAATTATGAAAACAGCCCAAGTGTTCATCAATAAATGAATGGATAAAGAAGATATGGCATATATATATATATATATATATATATATATATATATGATCTATATACATCTGAAGTAATTATTGATAGGTATATATTTATCACTTTTTTGTTAATTGTTTTCTGGCTGTATTGGAGTTCCTCTCTGCTTCTTTCTTCTCTCTCTTCCTTTGTGCTTTGATGGCTTTCGATAGTGGTATGCTTAGATTCCTTTCATTTTTACCTCTGTGTAACTACTATAGGCTTTGCTTCATCATCATGAGGATTGTGTATAACATATTTATTACAGTCCATTTTTATTTTAAAGATTTTATTTATTTATTTATTTTTATTTTTTTTTTTATGAGAGAGTGTGTGTGAGAGAGAGAGAGATAGAGCACAAGCAGGAGGGAGTGGCAAATGGAGAGGGAGAAACAGACTCCTTGTTGAGCTGGGGGCCTGATGAGGGCCTCAATCCCAGAACCCTGGGATCATGACCTGAACCAAAGACAGACACTTAACAGACTGAGCTACCCAGGTGCTCATTGTAGTCCATTTTAAATTGATAACAATTTAAGTTTGAATGAATTCTAAAGCTCTACATTTTTACTCTCTCCAACATTTTTCAGCTTTGGATGTCACATTTTACATTTTTTATCTTGATATGCATAACTAATCATTAACACTCTTTTTTACCATTAATGGTAAAGAACTCCTTTAACTTTGCTTGTCTGAAAAACTCTTTGTCTTCCCCCCAATTCTGAATGATTAACTCTTCTAGGTAGAGTATTCTTGGCTGGAAGTTTTTTCTTTCAGTACTTTGAATATATTGTGCCACTCCTTCTGGCCTGTAAAGCTTCTGCTGAAAAATCTGTGGTTAGCCTTATGGGATTTCCCCTGCACATAAAAAGCTATTTTTCCCTTACTAGTTTAAGATTCCTCCCCTGTTTTTAACTTTTGACATTTGAAGTATAATATGTCTTGGTGTATATCTCTTTGGATTCAACTTATTTGGAATAATTTGGGCTTTCTGGATGGATGTCTGTTTCCTTCTTCAGCTTAGGGAATTTTTCAGCTGTTATTTCTTCAAACATGTTTTTGCCCTTTTCTTCTTCTCTTCTTTGGACACCCCTATAATGTAAATATTGGTCTTCTTGATATTGTCCCATAAAGCCATAAAGTGCCTTACTCTATCTTAACTTACTTTCTTCTTTCTTTCTTCTACTCTGATTGGGTGAGTTTCACTGATATGCATATGGGTTCATGAATCCTTAATCCTGTTTCATCAAGCCTGCTGTTGAACCCCTCTAGTGTATTTTTTTCAGTTCAGTTATTTTAGACTGAATTCAGATGTGACTTCTACTTGATACTTAAAAAAAATATTTTAGAGGTGCTGGGTGGCTCAGTTGGTTATGGTCCAACTCTTGAATTCAACTCAGGTCAGGATCTGAGGATCATGAGATGGAGCCCCATGTTGGGCTCCATGCTCAGTGTGGAGTCTGCTTGAGATTCTCTCTCTCCCTCTACCCCTCCCCCTGTTCATGTGCTCTCTTTCTCTCAAATAAATAAATAAATAAATAAACCTTTAAAAATTACACTTCAGGGTTTAATTGATGGTTTAGAGGTTATAGAGTTTTGTAGCACCTAGGTAGCTCAGTTGGTTGAATATCTGACTCTTGGTTTTGGCTCAGGCCATGATCTCTAAGTTGGGAGACTGAGCCTCATATTGAGCTCCATGCTCAGTGGGGAGTCTGCTTCTCTCTCCCTTTCCCTTTGCTTCTCCCACTCCCTTTGAAATAAATAATCTTAAAAAAAAGAAGTTGTAGAGCTTTGCTATTTTTTGTTAAGTGCTTTCAGAATTCTTTCTCCTTATAAAAGTGGTTGATTTAAGTCAGCACAAAGTAGGTGTTTAGGGCATTATTCTTTTGCATTAAAGAGAGGACCATTTTGAATTTTAGAAATGAAATGTTTTACTAATTGTTCATAAAGTGGATGACAACTGGTCAGTCCACCAAAATCCTGATATATTTTCATAGTAGCCAAAGTTATAAGCCATAAATATTAGTTGATTATGTAGAAATAAAGAAATATTCACAGATATCAGAGATACATCTATATGACTCCTCTCTGAAAGGTCATAAATATATTATAAACCTGCATTTACTAAATAATCACCCTCTGCCTTGAAAGTTACAGAAAGCACAACTTTTATGCATATTCAAAAGAAATCAGAATGCCTTTGAGTGATTACAATCTATATTGTAACAAGAGAGCATATATCGGATTTTAAAATGGTTTATATAGGCTGAACTTAATCTCTCTTATTTAATAAAAGTGAATTTTTTTAATGTGTTAAAAATAGTTTTCTGGAAGCCAATTGCTTTCTGCATAACAAACCTTTACAAATACTCATAGAATTTGAGCAGTTCTCTTTCTAGGACTCAAACTTAAGAGAACAGGCAAAATTCAAACAAAAATACAGATAAATATATTAATAAAAATATAATTTACAATAATGAAAAATTAGAAAATACTAAGTATTCAATAATGAGAAATTGGAAGTTATGGCACCCTCATACAATGAACTATTAGGAAGCCATGAATGATCTTGTTCTCCAAGAATATTTAATGATGTAAGACATGCCTATATTGTATGTTAAAAATGAAAAGAAAATGAAAGTAAAGTAAAAAAATTACTATTTTGCCAGGTGTAACAAAATTATTGTTTTAGGAAGAATTATCAGTAAGTTGAAAAATTATTTAAAAGATGATTTGTGATAAACCAAACTTTGGTTCTTTTTTTTTAAGATTTTATTCATTTATTAATGAGAGACATAGAGAGAGAGAGAGAGGCAGAGACACAGGCAGAGGGAGAAGTAGGCTCCATGCAGGGAGCCTGACGTGGGACTCGATCCCAGGTCTCCAGGATCATGCCCTGGGCTGAAGGTGGCTCACCGCTGAGCCACCGGGGCTGCCCCAAACTTTGGTTCTAAGATCACATCACAAAGACTATTTTTGTTAGATTATGTTTGGACAAACTTGTTATATGGAACATTTTGAGCATAAGTGGGAATTTAAATATGCACCAGATATTAGTTGGTGTTAAAAATAATAATTGATTTTGTTAGATTTAGTGTTATTTTAACTATGCAGGAAAATACTTCTTTAGAGATGCTTAAGAAAGTATATGGAATGTAATATTATGGTTTCCATAATTTGTCTTAAAATAAGTTTAGGGAAAAATATAGAAAATTAAAAGTCCATGTCATACATGCAAAAGTACCATATTTAAAAATTTAAAAAAAAACAAAATAATCATATAAAACAAATGAACAAACAAGTTTAAAATTTGAGCATGAAAATAAAAATGATAAAAATTAGAAAGTTTTCCAAGGTGGAAGGAAGTTGAAGGAAATTTCCTATTTTTTTTAATAATGAAAAATGAGTGTTTAAAGGCAGTAGATAAGAAAAGAAAAGATGAAAAGAAGAGACTGAAAATAGTAGATAAAAAGTACTAATGAGGAACTAAGATAAAAGATTGGGTAGAAGATAGTAGATAGAGTATATATATATATATATATATATATATATAGTATATATATAGAGTAAGAAGAAGAAACAGTCTTTGAAAGCAAATCATCTGTATCTGATCTTCTGAAATGTAGAAGCGAGGATTTTGAGGTGCAGTCAGTATACAAAAGATGATTTGTTTCATACTACTGTGATGTGTGTATATGTACCTAATGTTCTGAGCAAATGCACAGAAATAATGGAATTACTCTTATATGTAATTTTTGTAAATTTCATTTCTATAGAAATCAATTACTTTATACTACTTCTCTCACAAAACCTTCGCATGTATTTGCCAGCCCAGTAAGGTATATATTTTCCTTTATGTACAGCGTATGTTCATATTCCCTTTTCCCAAATATGCTGGATTTGGGAGAAAAAAAATCAAAAAATGCTTACCCTAAAACATGTTGATTGTTTACATACTATACATATCTCATTTCATACCAAATGTTTTTATTTGTTGCTAACAGAGTGGTACAACCGTCCTCATCTCTCCTCCCACCTCTTCCCTATGACATCTGATTCTGTGTTGAGAAACTTTCAACAGAAGAAGCTAGTGAGATAATCACGAGGTAACATTTTATTAAATAACTTCCAAATTTTTCTTCCTCACTTTTTCTTTTTCCAATCCTCCAACTAATTACCAATATAAATCATGCGAGGTACTTAGAAAGTGCTGTGCTTTATATCCAGTGCTTTTATCTGGACTCCAGCCAATTTTACTTTTCAACTTGGTACAATTTGGGTAGAATCTAACCTAATTTCAGTGCAAGCAATAGATTGTTTCCCCAATATCTCATAATACTATTCTTGATGTAATATCCATTTTTAATAGTTTCTCTATGTAAGTTCTAGAGCATGAAATAATTTATATAATTCATATGAATAGGAAGCTTATTGCAAAATCTTTAATCCAATATTGTAAATAAATACCTTTTCTGTATATTTTTGAAAATAATGCTCTCAGTTCATCAGAATTATTCTTTTGGTTTTGTTAGTAACATTCTAAAGCACTCAAGTATTCTGTATTTAAAGAAATAAAATAGCAAAACACTATCAACTAAAAATCTGTGATGTGATTCATTTCTGGTAGAGCAACTTTTAGTCAAGTTATATAAAAAATAATGTAGAATTTCAATATTGTATTTTCCTGCTGATGTTTTGAATATGTTAGAATACTGAAGTCTATAGTGGTTTTCAAATAAGTACATAATGGACAGATTTTTGAAGAAATAATTGAAGAAACATGTTTCTCTCTTACAGTATTTAATCCATGATCTAAAATGAAATGGTGAATGATGAAATTAAAACATGAAATGGAAAGAATTCTTTTTTAACAATAAAATTATGTTTTAAAATCAATGATTATTTACATTGCTCTTTCAAACTTTTGCCCCAGGATGATATTTTTTCTTAAAATATATGTAAAATTTATAAATTATAATCAGAGATTATATAAGAAATATTTATCAATTTTTCCCAATTATACTTAATTTTTAAATAGAAAATGTAAGTTCAATAGAGACTGCATGTAAAATTATAGACAATTTTATGAATAGCAGATATAGAATAACATTTTGCATGTACATGTATAAATAACATTTACAGAATATTTAGTATTCCATTTTATGAGTATAATCATCAGAACCATATATCACATATATATATGTGACACCTAAAATAACCTTAGTTATAATTTTAAAGTAAGCAAAGCATACACTTAAATATGATAGAGTTTTAAATTTAGATTTAAATCTAATTTGGATATGCACATAGCATGATTCTATCATTTGACAAGAAATAGCACATGATATTATATATTATAAATTATGTGATACAAATATATCTCTGTGGTCATTTTATGTGTTGAGAATTTAACAAACCTTTATTAAATAAAGGTGTCAATGTGTAGAAGGCATATTATTACCTGCTACAGTGGATATATGTGGAAATAATTCCTACTTGTGTGTCTGGGAATGCTCACCTATGGTCAAATCTTAAAGAGCTTCTAAGCTACAAGAGTATAGAAGTCAAGGGAATTTTAATTTTCACGTGAAATTCTAAATATGGAATGAAAAGAGAAATAAATAAGTCCATTAGAGAGCCAGATTCAAACAGTTATGCTAACAATTAATCAGACCAAACTGGAATCCCTCTATTAATTATCCAACTGATAAATTAGCCTATGATTATTCTTTTTAATCATTAAGATCTTGGTTTGGCAGAAATGAACATTAAGTGTCAAAATTCCTTAAGTATTTCAAAATGTGAAGGCAATTTCAGATTCATATATAAACTTCAAATAAAAAGTGAAATGTAACTGTCACCAGGGAATATTAATAATCACAATGTAAATAAAACACAATGTTTCCTTTTAAGTCTGTTGACAGCAGTAACTAATTAGTTGAAATATCCCTACAGATCCAATTATGATCTACTTAAGTCCTAAAAATATCATGGCAGAATGCCGGTTTTGTCTCCAACATTGTAAGATTCTGAAAATTGCCACATACAATTTTTCAACAACAAAAAAAGTAAACAAACTGAAATAAATGACTTATTTGGGACCCATCAGAAAGTTGAAGTCACAAAACAAATTGTCATCTAAAATCTAGAGACAGGAAAATATAGTCACACTTAGGATCTGTTTACTTGGAGCAGAAGTTACTGAAGGCATAAACTTGTAGGAACATTTGTAAAGTAATTTTGATGAACTCTAGGGCTTGAGTGTAGGTTAGCATGAGAGTAAAAATCTCATTGGGAGCGAAGTTACCTTATGAAGTTCCCTACCCTTTTGTGTGTTTTACTTCCAGGAACCCTACCAAGTTCAAATGGTGAAGAGCCAAAAGAGATATCCTCATAGCTCTGGAATGAGGCAGGGCAAAGACACCATTTTCAAATATTTCCAGAACATCCTTCACAACAAGTGTCTACCTAACAAAGAAAAAGATTTGATTAGAGCTTTATTTCACTTGGGAGAAGGACACTTAATCACCTGTACCACCTCTAGCTTTCCTGTCTCATCCAAGGGGATGTGGAAGCTACAAAACACTTGTGAAGATCACAGACTGTGGACAAAAACCCATAAAAGACTAAAATGTAATCACAAGGTTATGGAATGTTTCCTTTCTCTCATACCTTAACGCTACATTAATAGGGTGCAGTGTACTAGCAGGAGAGCTATGACAGCTAAAAGTTACGACTCTAAGAGTTATTAGGAAAAGCTTTAAAACAAAGGAAGCAAAAAAAAAAAGTAAGTGAAAAGATTTGATATCTCTGATATCTACAGCTACCACAAACATTAGACACAACCCAATTCTAAGGTAAAGTAACATAAATCTTTACACCAAAGGCCTATTTAGTTTTGTTCCTTTACCTGGTACATCATGTCTAGCTTTTAAGAAAAAAATTATAACTCATCCTGAAGGCAGAAAAAAACAGCCTAAAGAGATAAAGTAAGCATCAGAACTAGACTGAGCGATGACATATTTGTAATGATCAAACAAAATTTAAGTTAAATATAAATAACATGTTAAGGGCTCCATTGGAAAAAGCAGATAACATGCAAAAATAGATGGGTAATGTAAACAGATAGACAAAAACTCTAAGAAAGGGGGAACCCTCCTGGGTGGTTCAGCGATTTAGCGCCTGCCTCTGGCCCCAGGTGCAATCCTGGAGTCCCGGAATCGAGTCCTGCGTCGGGCTCCCGGCATGGAGCCTGCTTCTCCCTGTCTGTGTCTCTGCCTCTCTCTCTCTCTCTCTCTCTCTCTCTCTCTCATGAATAAACAAATAAATAAATAAATCTTAAAAAAAAAAAACCTCTAAGAAAGTAGTCTTAAAATGCTAGTAGCAACA